CCTGGCAACACTTACTGCTACCAAGGCCAGAAATATAAATAGCTATCTACGTATGTACGAGAAATACAGAGTAGCGTTATCAGTGTTTATGTAACATAACATTTAGAGGATCATCTCTACGTTATCGGCGCTTATCAACGTTCGTCATTGATTTTGGCATTCTCACAATCGGCATGATCGGATTTGCCGGCATTACAATCTATTAGATATCGAGAAGTAACGTGACGGCTCTGAGTTGTCTCGAGTTCTTCGCATCATATTTCGCTGTTTATTTATCCCACGCATATTAGATCTTCTATTTAATGACGAGCGAAGGGAAGAGATTGCGTTTATTTTACGCATTTATTTTAAGCAACGAAATAACGTTTGCACGTTTTTCTATTACAGGCGTGAGTTACGAGGACGCTTTGAGGGACGGCGTGCTCCTCTGCAAGCTCATGAACAAACTGCAGCCTGGCTTGGTGTCCAAGATTAACACGTCCGGTGGGGATTACAAGATGATGGACAATCTTAATCAGTGAGTGTTACGTTACAAAGGCTGCGTTCTGAGACCGTTGTCGACGAGTAGTGAAGCATTCAACTGACCAATCAGAATAAAAACTGCAAATATTTCTACGTCTTTGATCGGTTAATTAAATGCTACTCTACGTATACCCAACTTACTCTAGGCAGTCAAAATAATTTGATGCATTGTAGGCACCTGGAGGAGACGTGAGAGATTACTTGAGGAAAGTGAATCGACTATCGAATTATCGACAACGATAATTATAATAGATACTAACGATAAATCAATAACACTTTGAATGCCGTTGCGGCAAAAAAACGAATGCAAAAGGTAAAATTTATTATGTTCATTGGTAAGAAGAAAGTCCGAACTTCGCTTGGCGAAAGATTCTGCGTTCAATTTCACACAAGGTGAATATATTTCAAAGTAACAAATATTACGTCAAAAATCAATACCAAATTATAACATTCGTGACACGTCAATCGACATTGAAATATAAAACGTGTTATTTCAACGCACACGAGTTGAATATCGAGTCGATACAAAACACATCGAGAGATAACACAATATGTTAAATTAATATATGAGTACGTTAAAAATTTAACACAAAAATTCGTTAACAAAACCGAGCCAATGGGCTTGAATTTTAACAAGTCCTTTTGTACCGGCATTTATTCGCAGTCGGAAAAGTGCGACTAAGTGAATCACAGGCTCTAGGATATCTCGAGTCGCAACGAGTCGCGACAATTTCATGCAGGACGCGGAGTGTTAATTAGGGCGACGCGGTTAATTCGAGCTGATAGCCGCGGCCGACTGGTTCGCAACTGGTTCGCAGACAGTAAGTCCGCAACTGTTGTCGCGTTGCTCTTCCACCAGGCGCGCCTTGCTTCCTGCGAACTCATGCTGTCCTAATCCGCCGTCGACTTTACGCAATCGACAGTGTTTTGCGTCAATTTCTCGACTGCGGAGTATCGACAACGCCGATCAACGACCGTCGCTGCAGTCGAGAGATTGTTGACCCTCCTCTCGACTGCGCCGAGTTTCGAGAGTTACCGCGGGAGACGCAGCGGCGAAGCGATAGGCGCGAAACGTTCTTTGCGCTCGTTCCTCCTGGCGCCGCGTGTTCGCCTAATAATCGAGAACCGACCGAGTCTGAGGTCGGGACCGTCGACTATACATTGGATGGAGCGCGATGAAAGTGAAAACGTAACAGATACATGTGGCCACGTGGCGTAGGTATCACGAAACGCTCGATGATAGACGAGGATTCGCGCGAGCAAATCTTGCGTACACAAAATTTTCGCGATACGGTGTTCCGCGTGCGCAAAATTGGGAACGATGCAAAAAGGGAGAATCGTGTAACAATTGATTCGGTGGGAGAATTTAATCCTTTTCAGAGGCTCGCCAAGGAGAGATGCCGGTATGCGCTTCGTAATTGTCAATCGCGCGGACATCCTTTCGTCGCAGGATCTAAGTGTGAAATATTTGTATTTCTTCGGAAATCGAAGTTTTTCTCACTCTTAAATGTTCTTTCATTCTCATGGGTATGGACAATGGCAACCGGTCATGCGAGACATACACCTGTCTGCGTGGTTATAATCTGAAAATAGGATATTCGAGTCGAACGCCTGCAGCGCATTGATACAATCCTGATGAAATATTTGTATGCGAGGAGGTGGTTTTAGGACAACGCAAAGAAGCGCACCCTCAATGGGACGGATGATAAGCTAACTGCCGTTTTTAATCGTCGCTCGGGTGAGCGGGATTACTTTCTCTCAAGCTCACGGGGAAATTTCCGCGGAACGATCGTCCTCGTTTCACCGGTAAACGCAGTGGATCGATCTTCTTCTTTTTACAGGTGTCTTCCTCCAGCCAGTGTGAAATTCCGTGATTTGACGTGACCCCTCGCGAGATATGTTGCAACGTTACGATTAATAAACGATTCGGCGAATAAAGTGTGCGATCGAAGTGCGAAGTTGATTGGAAAAACGTATTTCATAGGTTATTCGTGCGCAAAACTATGACGGCGCACGCGATGCGCCAGCGCGCCCACTTGTGTTCCCTACTCGACACGTTTTCGTTACACGAAAAAAGAGCTTGGCTATAAATTCACCTGACAATGAACGAAGCAAAAGCGTCTTGGCGGAAGGAAACGTAAATTTCGAGTTGTAAAAACCGAATTTGGCTCGTGAATTAATTATCGTGATCCGGTATGCATACCGGAAGTCGACGAAACATCCGAAGATGAGCTTGAGATGATCTTGAATATAAGATCCGACTGTGAACACCGGCCATTGTCATTTTATCTAACGGAATGTACATACATTTTTTCATCGCCAGAATGCTGCGTTATTCCATTGTATTTGTATAATTTACGCGGCCTTTAGTGACATCGGTACTGTGCGGGTGATCGAATTCGCTGTGAACATTTCCGTGATACATTCCGTAACACAAGAAACGTACATCTTCTCGCTCGACGATAGTTTCGGTCGCTCCGTTCGCTGAAATTGAAGCCACGATTTGTCTTCTTCTTCATCGACCGGAGAAACCGATGAGTCGTTGTGCGCGTAGTCGGACCTCCTCGCGGGTACGAGCCTGCCGGAGCCCGCGCCGGTGCGACTGTGCCCGCGCTCGTCGGCCACCTCCCCGGAGGAGGGGGACGCACGCTCATTCCGCGTCGTCGTTCGCGCCGTCGTTCTCGCATCCTCGCGCCTCGTTGCCGGCTACACGTGCGCATGTCGCGCTTCTTCAGCATTTGGCGCGTTTTGAATGTTTAAGAGCGCTTTCGCGAGGTAGTGGGGCAAACGATGCGCAGCGCGGCCACTCCGCGTTACTCCCTTTCTACGCGAGCAGCATGATCTCGGCGAAGGTGATATCACCGCCGCCGCCGCCTCCGCTGCGCAACGCGCGTTTAAGATTTACGCGCCGAGAGATCCGGCGGCCCGCTCGCTCATTATTATACCGCGGCCCCTTCATGCGCCTCTGATAGCGCGAACGCTCGTAAGCACTGACCTGCCTCGCGCGTTCTCCGCGCGACGATTGTCGCGCGCACTCGCGCGCTTGTGATCGATAGGAAAGCACACCGCTCTGTTCTCCGCTGAGCGAGCGTGATCGCGGATGCGGCTGAGTGCGCGTCACTCCCGCGCATTGCGATTCTCGGAATCTCGGTGAAGAAGCGCTCGCTGCGTAGATGAGCCTCGTTGAGCTCAGGTCAAATGATAATCGACGAATAGTAACGCCCATCGGGAAAGCGCTAGAATGAAATCAGCGTAGTTAGGCTGTTTCTCAGCTTCTCGCAAATCAAGTAATATTTTTAAGTGTATTTTCAGTATCGTGAAGTATATTTAAGTATATTTCGTTGATTGGATTGATCGGAGTTCGATGAAAATCCCCCCCCCCCCCCNCCCCCCCCCCCCCCCGAATTATTCTCTCTCCTTGTGAAGTGAAGCGACTTTTACGCCGAACGTGTTAAATCGCTTAACTTTGAAGCGAGCACGTGACAGATGTCAATTAGCCCGGGCCTCTGCCTTGACGATGAGATTTTAAACGATTTCCCGGGAACTGACGTAACACGGAATAAATACTGCGGATAATGGAGCACAATGAAAATGCGCCGGCGCATATAGTGCGCCAACGTGACTGTTTATGTTCTTCCTCGGGTTTGATTGTTGGAGATTAAAATTAATAAGGAGAAAAAAGATATTGACATGATAAGAGGTGATTGACGAATGGTGACTAGCTTTGGTAGAATGGTGACTAGCTTTGGTAAAGGATCGACTTATTTTTTAATTATATGACAATTATACAAAATAAGATAATTATAAAATTCAGTTTCGGTAGAATGTTTGTAATTTCACTTGACCTTAACAAAGGCTGCATGATCATTTAATAAATGAACTCATTCACCAATACATAGTTAGGAAACGTAACAAGATTTTTGCGATAAATGATTCTCTCTGTCTTTCTCTCTCTCTCTCTCTCTCTTTCTTCGGTCGGACAGATTCTGCTACCCTGTTAAGCGGGCGCACGTGACACGTCATTTCTCGGACGTGAGGAAGAAAGCATCGCCTTCCCGTACTCTCACATGGCGTATACCGCGCAACCCGTTAATTACCGTGTCCGATAATTAGCAGCCAAACAATAGAAGCGCGTCGCTAGCTTAAAGCAGCGCCCAGGCGAGCAGCCGTATAAAGGAGTTGGACGTAACGGCTCCTCTTTTGTTTCTCCCCCGCCTTTGTCTTCCCTCTGTCTCGCCGTCGTTCTCGATGGCGTCGTCTCGACGAGTCTTCTTCGTCGCGGGAATACCCGAGTCTTTTGCATTCATTCGCGGGCAAGCGTTCTTGACAAGCGTTAACGCTAAATTAAATGCACCGCAAATCCACGCAGATTTCTTGAACTGATTTGTGATTCACTCGTTACGCTTAATGAAATGGTTTGACAAATAATTAATTATAATATATTCAAAAATGAAATAAACGCAATAACAAGTTATATTTAAGAGTATAATTCACGAAAATAAATTTATATATCACTTTATACGTTTTAAAAAAATTCGATTACGTAAATTACAGCATAGATATTTTACAGATTCCAGAAGGCCTGTGTGAAATACGGAGTACCTGATGTCGATCTCTTCCAAGCTGTCGATCTGATGGAACGTAAGAACATCGCTCAAGTAACAAACACCATTTTTGCCATCGGACGAACGGTAATTTGCCATAAGTTATTTATTCATTCACTATTATTTATGTGTGCGTGTGTACGCAAGCGACGATGTCGACCTATTTTCTCATCTGTGCGAATCCATTCAAGAATTTTCTTTTAAAGAAATCTTTCTTTTGTCTCTTTCTTTTGCAAACAGCCATCTATAATAAATGCAAAAATTTACGTGCAATCCGGAAAAAAAAGTAATGGATTTTCCACGAAACAGGGATATCTAAATGGCGGGAAACTATTGTTTACGATTATATTAAGTAGAATATAAATGATAAACCAAAAATAGATATTTCTTACTTCAATTACAATTTGTAGACGTACAAGCATCCTGAGTGGCGCGGTCCTTGGTTAGGACCGAAACCTGCGGAGGAGAACAAGAGAGCCTTCACCGAGGAGCAATTAAGAGCTGGCGAAGGGCTTATCGGTCTACAAGCTGGTACTAACAAAGGAGCTACTCAAGCCGGACAAAACTTCGGAGCCACGAGAAAGATACTTCTTGGAAAATAATTTATAGAGCGTAGTGTTTCTCAATCGCTGTGTCCGAAGTATACTTTATCCACAAAACAATAATCTTTTAAATGAATGTATACATAAAAAAAATAGCGTAAAGTTACGTGATTGAAAACATTACTTTTAGCCGTACGCGCTCAAAGCACTTGTGAAAAGAAAAATTGTATTTTATAACACTTCGTTAATCACAAGCACAAATGATATAACAATACACTGAAAAACATGATAAGATTAATGTCAATGCGTCAGACACGCCAATCTATGTTTAGTGTATCTATAACATCTATTTAACACGTGGGTGTGATGTATTTGAACGAAATGTAATAAACGTTGCACGACAATTTACTGACAAAATTTCTCGTTTCTAGTTTATCGCCACGAAGCTCGACGCTTCGCGTCCTCGGAGATTCATAAGAAGACGTATCTTGATGACTCTGCTCCAAAACCGGCATCCGGTCGAAAACTACGCTTCGATTTAATTAACCGAAGAACACGACTTCCGCATTCGTTTGCAAATCTCCGAGGAGCACGATTCGCCGAAATTCTTCTCCCCTGTTCGCGGACGGTTCGAGGTTCACCGTCAGGCTCGGATATCGAGAGAGAGAGAGAGAGAAAGAGACGACTGGTCGACACGTGTCTTCCAAGCGCTTGCTTCAGGTTTGAGCGGCTATTCTTGGCGCGAAATTCCTAGAGCGGGTCTTGTCGCTCTTGCTGCTTCCCTGGCAACTCTCGCCTGGCTGCCGACAATCGTTCCCCTATCGCGCTTTCTGTCGGTGTCGACCGCGCGCCTGGCGAACCGCTGGGACACGTACACGCTCTCCGTGTACGCGCGCTCCACCGACGGGACGACGACGACGACGTCGCAGACACCGCGAAAATCGCCCGGGGCATACATACATATATCGATGCGCGTACGTGCGCAGGTGACGGGGCCGCGTATGCGGCGATACGAATCTCGTGTACGTGACAGGAACAACGAGTGGGCGTGACGTGTACGTACACGCGTCACACGCATTCCTTGACCGGTTTCTACACCGCGAGGCTCCCCGAGGATCAGGCGAGTATCCGCCCTGAGATAGAGTACCCTTCTCCGATCCGAAATTGCGCGCTCCGGTTTTTCTTTCCGCTCGCTCCGTCGCTCGTCACGGCCAACCGTTCCCGCCGCCGGCGGGAATCCAAATGGCGGATCCGCTCTCGACGAGCGGCTGTTTCGAGCTGTTTCGAGCGAGAACGAGTCTCGTCGGAATAATGATTCCGAGATCAGGCATCAGATGTGTATCAGATGTGTGCGAAGATCCTCGACGCCGTGCGTCACCGTCACCGGCGATTGATTCGAGACGTCGAGGAGACGGAGAAGCATTTACCTCCTCCGTGTATCCACTTTGTACGCGTCGACTTCGCTCGTGGATTCTGATCCTTATTTTTCGTTCTCGCCATTGCGCACTGTTCGAGGGCAATTGGACGATCGCTTCCTACGAATCACTCGGCACATGTCTTATAGATATCGGACGTTAGACATTACAGCGTCTGCATTAGTCTTGAGCATATTTACGTGCTACGATTTCCGATATGCGTGAAGTCGCGGTTTCAGCGCTGCTTATATCCGACGTGGAGGATGGTATTCTCCGTTCGGCGCGACAGCGGCCAATTGTTCCGAGCGGCGTGTGTCGAGGTGTGCGTCGGCTGGCCCATGCGGTGTGCCGTTCTCCACGTGCGCAATGACGTGGTTCGGTCGTGGGGCAGGCCAGTTCTCGGGGACCCCCTGGCACAGGATAGCAGCGCGGCGAGAAGGTCGGCCGCCGCTCAGCGACTCCGCCGGGACGCGTTTCCACGGTGTCGCCTCCACTCGTCTTATACGCTCCTCTTGAAAGGGGAGCGCTGCGGAGTGGCCGCTCCGCGCATCACTGCGCCCCACTATTCTTCACGCACTCGCAAACCGCGTACATACGAACGGTGACGCGCGCTCAGCCCGGCGCCGAACGCGCTCTCCCTCGATCGATTTTCCCCGATCGTGACCACCGGCGGCCGCGTCTCGGTCGCGCCTCCTCGACATTACCTCGAGATTCGTATTCACCACCGTCTTCCGAGCACGAACGGAACGTCGATATTAGCCGAAGCGCCGTATGCATCAGGGAAGTAGGTTTCTCTCGACTCAGTACACGCGCTTGTCTTGGACCTTTCGGCTTGTTCGATGTGAACAATGTCATTTCATGTAAAATTTTCATTCTGTCGGGACGAAAGTGTCTCACTAGAGTGAATTATGTTTGATAAAAGAAAATTGTATTGTTCAGGGGAGATGATATTTTCCGTTTTCGATCAGAAATAATGTATCTTATTGTATAGTAAATATTGGTTTCACCGAAACCAAGTTCTTCAATATTTTTTTAACGTAATGTTACTTCTTGCGGATGATTTTTTTTTGCTCATGACAACCATCGTAATGTTTGGAGAATGTTATTTCGTTATCCACCAAACACCAACTAACCAGTAACGTTACATTAATATTATAATCCCCCGCTCAATAATATAACTATTACATACAACATATGTAACACTTATATTGCCTCGAATGGGAAATTATAATATCGGTGTAATGTTACTTTTAGAGTTGGCGTTTGCCGGATACTTCGTGTTCCCTTTTCTGTCTTTATACACTGTACCTCTTGAATTCATAAAGCACACATCCGATAGAAAATAATTGCACACGAATACCTGAAAAGTTCTCAGGAGTTCCAATGATAGTGCATGGTAACTCCTTGGATCATTCTCATAGAATTCTACGAGTTCCTAAAGAGAATATCAACACGTGAAAGGGGAAAACTTCAGAAATACTCGAAAAATTCACCGTATTATTTGGGTTCGATAAATTCCCTCGTGTCCGCCCTCTGTAAAAACTATAGCTTTGCGCTTAACACTCTTTGTCCTAAGCCCGAGTATAGGTCGGAGTAGCGCGTAGACGACAACTGCCATTCCATACGTTTCTGCTGCATTTAAAGTGCTTCTTTTTCACACTTAAGATTGATATATCGGTTGCTAAATTACAACAACATACATCGACAAATTCCAATTTTTAAATAGACATCAAAATTGTCCAGGAACCCATTAATAAATCATCTTTAAGGCCTGGGCTTCAAAGCCTAGCGTTAAGGCTGAAACTGTTTTCACATGTGCCGCGCGCGGCCTTAAGCGGCTGCTGCGTCAGAACTGTTCGGTGCGGTCGCACTCGAGACCTTCGGCGCGATCGTCCTGGTCGTTTCACGAAGCGAAATGGTCGACTCGATATGCTATCGATCGTGTAGAAGCGAGAAGATACGTTTCTGAGTCTCGCACACGCAGAAACTCAACCACTGAGAGGCGTATGCGCGCCGGACAGCGTCAATGTATCCAACTGCACATATATATGTGCAAGGGACAGTTGCGATAGTCACGTGAGAGAGTCTGAGAGAGAGAGAGAGAGTCTCGCGGCTCTTTCGTACTCCTGACAACCTATTCGCGCGGAGTTCATTGGTACGTTTCCACGAGGCTCCGTGCTGTAGCACCCGATTCGAACGGACGCGAATGACCCGCAATCTTGTTACTCTCCTTTCTCGACCTGCACCGTCACCGTCTAAACACTCATGGTCTCCCGGTAGAGGGTCGACTCTAGTCGATCGACAAAAGTATTTTGCTACCAATCGCGCCAGGACGGTGAGGCTGACCTTTCTCGCGCCTCGGCGAAAGGTAACGAGGACAAAGTTCCCCAGGTGAGAAATTAATGTCGAATCGACGTCGATTCGATGTAATTTATACCTTATCGACGTCGATTCCGATGCTCCATCTCGCGCTGGGCCAGTCCGAACCGGCAATTGCCCGTGTAATCGCGAGGGATTTCGCGCGGTCTCCTTTAAAGTTAATTCCCCTACATTGGAATATGTAGAGGAGAGTTGACTGATTTGTACCTTGTTACTTTTGCCAGTAATTATTGAATATAAGCGCGATATAGTGGTAAAAAAATCATGTGAAACGATGAAGATGTCATGGACATTTTATCGCGATGTCTCCTCTGTGCGATATAAGTGTTGAAAAAATATCTCAAGTACGAACTTTCCCGTAAATTCAGTCACCATTTCTACTTTTACGTAAAACGCGAGAGCGCTTTATATTATCGTTAGCTAGGGACACTTACAAATTGTCCCCCACGGTTTTTACAATCTCCGTTCGACGAAGAACGTGTCGGAAATAGAAAAAAGAGCAGAGAACTCTGCCCGTTCTTTTTTCATTTCTGGAAATAGACGGAAGCTGTAGGGATCAGTTCTGTATGATTATACGGAGAAACTCGAAAGAAGCAAAACTGGAAGCGCATTCTCGAAAGTTAACGTGTATCATACGCGACTTCGAGTTCGACATAACCGTGCCGGTGATATGGATTAGCAATAATGCCGCTCGAAGCGCGTGCTAAATATTCCACTTCTCTCGATTGTGCCTATAAAAGTATATGTCAAGGACTTCCCATTGACCCGGACGATTGCGTTAATAATAAGATGATTGATGGTAGCTCGAGGAACGAGAGGAATCCGGCACGTGCTATGGCCTCTCACATACGTGTGATAATTATTATCAGACTTAAGCCATAAATTTATATTTAAGTCGCACTGCGTCAGTTATTAGATATTTGCTAAGGAAAATTGCTTGCGAATTAACCGAAGCACCTGCGAATCGAATTCTTACGACATCTTGAATATCCTGCGCAACATAACGTCCCAGATAGATTATACTTTGATATATTGTCTGCGTCGTGACTATACCAGGTAGTGCATTAGTTAGCTTCATATATACGTCCTTTAAACGTATGTGGCGTTTCATAATCGTGTTACATACGTTTAAAGAACGTATATGAAACTAACTGTGCTACCGGGGTAGTATAAGTACGTTAAGATGCATCCTCAAGCAACCAGAATTTTGTCAGCGTGTAAAGGAAGATAATTCCGATGACCGTGAAAATTACGGCAATATTGCGGCAATATTATGACGTCACAAATGTCCCCGTAATAAATTATTAACATAACGTTATTACAATGATGTTTTATAGTATATAACGTTTTCAAATACGTAGTTCTGAATGTTGTACACTTGTAACATTACTGTCAACAATATTTGTCCCAAACAATAAAAGTAACATTTCTACAGTATGATTTTAATATTTGGGAATATCACATTATCAAAATGTGGCGTGATGAATGAGTATATATATCTTAAAACAAGCGTATTTTGAATATTAATGCCGTTACAATGGCGTCGCGCATTAAATACCTCCGCACGCCACGTTCAGCGTTTCTGTCCGAAGTATCGCGACATTTTTCCTCGATGGGATAAAGCAGCGTTGCGTTGCATCGACGACGACGATACGTGTCTTTTTAACACGCTTTAATACGCTTATGCAAATGATTTAAGGCCATTCAGGCTCGCCGCAGCTAACCGCGAGCCTCGCACGGTCGCGATACGATTTTTGCTCTATCTTGAGAGCGTCTATTTTTATACCGGCGGAGCGCGGCCGATCTCGCTGCCATCTGTGAAGCGGCACGAAATGCTACACGCGAGCTGGTATACTTGTGTGTGCGCGACCTCGACTCCGGATTTCTGTGTGTTCTAGAAGAAATGGATGGTAGTTTCTATGATGTGCACGACAAGAGGTATTTTTTTTACCGTACGTTTACTACGCCGTTCAGTACCGGATTCGCCGAACGTCAGTCGTCGTCGCACGCCGTGCGCGTCGAGATTTTTTTTACCACAGTTACTCCGTGATCGTCGCGTGTATCGGTGCCATGCGATGTTGTTGCTCTCACATCTTCGCTGTACCTTGTCGTTGATTTGATTTTCCGTTTCGCGGTTTTGCAAGAGCGAGCGATGATTTTCTCAAAGAGAGCGTCGGTTTTACGTGCGATAAACGCGGTTTTCAGTAGGATCGATCGCGAGAAATCGGTATTTCGCGGTACAGGCGAATACGGTCGATTCGCTTTTGCAGATCGGAGCAGGTGAATCTACTACGTCATTTCGATAGCACGTCAATTTGGGATACACGCCTGTCATTTTGTTTACAAAAGTAGGTACACATCGAGTTTAGTCGCCGAGTTTACGGGCCCTGTTAGAAAATAGGAACCGAAGGGGAACGCCAGGAAGTGCCTGGCAGCGGAGTCTTACACAACATGCCTTCTATTTGCGGCGATATGGGTGATACGGCTGGTAATTGTAAACTGTTATCATCGTATTATGTGTAATATATAACAGCTGTACAAATACGCTCAACGTATATAACAACAATTGTGTGCAGCTGCCTCGCAATCAGGTATCATGGAAGGTATCTCCAGTACGGACAGTATTGGGACACAGAGTGACATATCAGGACACACAACTGTAACAGGAAGGCCGAGAATGGATGTGGCTTGTGTGTTGGATCTGCAACAACCGGAGCATCTCGCCCAGCGAAAGAGAGCGCTGGACGAAGTTAGACAAGCCTGCAATTTGGTCAATGCCAATATACATCATATTCAGGTATACTTTGACATGATTCGATTGTTTGAATAATATTAACGGTCATATCTCCGAATAAACTTGCTTTTGAATGAAATACGGTGGAAGATCCGTCACAATAAGTGTACATTAATCCAGCTATCAAAATATTATGATAATATTTATTATATTATCTTGAAAGTTAATGTTAAAATATATTCATATGTTGAGCACTGTCAACATGGGCCATCGGTGGCACACATTGGACTTTCTGTTCAGGCCATATATCGCATACACTTCATGTTACCTCCTTCTTTTTATAATCATGATTTTAGTCTTATAAGTATAATAAGATATTTGTACAGGTCTTGTAATAAATGCGATAACATGGGCCATCGGTGGCCCAAGCAGTGTGAATGGCAAGTCATGTTAAATTAGTGATTAAACATGATGTCTTTTACATAATTGTATCATTACAAATAGTTTAAAAGAAATATATGCCTATATTTGCCTTTTTGCCTAACGTTGTGCGTAATTTTACAGTTTGAGAAACTAGATTTTGGCGAAACCAGTGTATTGGAAGCATTCTATAATGCTGATGTGGCAGTTGTAGATTTGAGCATTCAGTTGCAACAGTCTGCGTTATTTTATCATCTCGGTGTCAGGGAGAGCTTCGGCATGAAGGAAAATATCTTGCTTTATAATGACGTGGACACAGAGACAACGATTAGACTGAAGGTATGTGCATACTGAATTAAAATTATATTCTTTCTATTTGTTATTTTGTTTGTTATTCTATTTGTAATTATATTCTTTATATCTTGTCCATTTGAGAAGTATAAATATCAGAATTCCTTTTGTGCTTTAATTACTAAATTCTCAACATAGTGTAACGTATAAATAACCTTGGCACTTTGCTAGACTTAGGATGTTACTCGTAACACTGATCTTAATTAAAGATCTCGTAAATAGATCGGTCATAGAGTTCAATTGACTCACTGTATGTACACCACTTCAGTACATCAAACAGTTTCGTTTTCTCCCCGTAGTTTTACTGTCGAAGAAAGGACATGTGTTTAATAGATTTCTCTCACACAAAAGTGATATCTTCACAAATATCTTTTTATCTTTTTATTTTTATGAAAAAGATTATACTAAAGGTTATAAAGGTTAAAGGTTTCTTTACACAAATATATTACATTTAACAAATAAGTATACAAGTGGTTTCTTTAACTAAAAATTTACAAACGCATGGAGCTGAAATAAACGCGAACATTAAAAGGAACATTGATTTTTCTCATTCATTTTATTTATTTGTTATCGGGCGCAGTTGTTTTCGGCAAATTCATTTTATTTTCTTTCGTTCACTTTAAGAACTATTGCGAAGTTTAATTATCACTTAGCAACTTACACAATTACGTATTGTTTGTTGATTGAAATTTCTGCAGAGTTTCTTGCGTTAAAGGACTCGTACAGACCTCGTGTATTTTTACTAAAGGCGAATTAAAACGTACTGCGCGCTCAACGACGCTCCGCGCTAAACTGTGTCAAGCGTCAAAACGTGATCGGCACGGTTTGATAAAACGGTACCCGTGTCTGTCAGGCAAGCACCAAATATGTAATTCCGCTGTATATGGAGTAGAAAAACATGAGCTCATGCTCTTAATATAGCAGTTACTGTCGGTGTTGGCTGACCGTGCGCAACTGCGCGCAATCTCTCCGTACGATTTGTTGCTGATACACGTGAATCGCATTCGCCTATTGTTTCCGAATTGTTAATTCCGTTACGATCGTCGTATCGAACAGTTTCGAGAACGGGTCGAAATGAGAAAGAGGGTGACGTTTGCATATATTCGCGTGTTGTGTGCGAAAAGGGAGAAACCAGTGTAAAATATAACAAAACATGAATAATCATGAGACAATGAGTGGTGAATAGCAATGTAGTATGGAAATCCAATTAAATGAACAACTAGTGTGTTATGTGCGTTTGATAATGGAATACAATAAAATGTGTCTCGAGGAAATACAAATGCTTTCCTTTATACATGATTTGTAATTTATTATTACATATCTCCGATAGTATCCATAGAAGAGTAATTTAATTTTAATTAGCAATGTAGTGTTTTCTTCCTAGAATATTTATTCACGCACTATCCTCCCCAGTTATCTTGTGGCAGCTACACGTTTGTTTCCTACCGTGTTGTGGAATGTGGCACATGTGTAGCTACTAACCCAGCAGCTAGCAGAATCACAGGCGAAGAAGCAATAGATCCCAAACAGCATCTCACTCTGAAGCTCAAGAAACTATTTCAAGATGTGGAAATACAATCCAAGTAAGCAGAAAACTTTCCCTTTACCTAATAATAATTGCTTGTATAAATAATAGTTAAATATTATTGTTGCATATTTTGTTATTTTTGCTGAAAAGACTGAATAAAGGTTCTTTAGCACGTTAATGTGAGAAATATATATATATATTTTTTTTTTTAAATTTTAGAGCGCACATGAAGGAGAAATTTCTGGCAGATTTGCGCAAAGCGCGTGAAACGTATTCCGGAGAGGAGCTCTCGAGAGCTTTAAATAATATGCGCAAACGTTTAGACGACCCAAATGTTTTGTCAGGAGAAGTTGTCCTAAATGTTCTAATTTCATTCCGAGAGATACAGGTAAATTAATTGACAGATCCATAATAATTTTAAGCGAGAACTGTACTAGTTTGTACTAGTTACACTGTCAGGACATGAGCATTGACATTTGTTAAAAAAAAAATCTCAGGGTTATGACGCAATGGTACAATTGGTTGATGATTTGAGAACTATACCGACGCACAAGAACTACATAAATACTCCGGCTATTAGATATTTATATGCATTTGCTCTAAATCGACGAAACAAGGAGGGTGATCGAGAAAGAGCGTTAAAAGTGATCGAGAAAGCGTTGGAAAAGAAAGAGAATCATGTTCCTGACATGCTGTGTCTGTGTGGCAGAATATATAAAGATATATTTGTGGAGAGCAGGCACACAGATCAGGAAAGTTTGAACAATGCGATCCACTGGTATAGAAAAGGTTTCGAGGTGCAGTATTTATAGACAAGTTGTTTCAATTATTTTCAGCTATCATTGTATGTGTTATAATGTCATTGTTACATTTAGGTCCAACCTAATGAATATGCTGGTATAAATCTTGCTACTTTATTGGTCATAGCTGGGAACGAATTTTCAAAGAGTGAAGAATTACAACACATAGGAATGGTGTTAAATAATTTAATTGGCAAAAAAGGCAGTTTATCGAGCTTGAAAGATTACTGGGATGTGGCAACGTTCTTCGAAATCAGCGTGTTGGCGGAAGATTATTCGAAGGCTATACAAGCAGCTGAATGTATGTTTAAACTGAAACCACCGAATTGGTAGGTACACGAGAATATTAGGATCAGAAGTTCGACGTTCGAGAAAAAAAATACGCAGTATCTATAAGTCACTTTAATCGGCAGGTATCTGAAATCGACAATAGGCAATATATCACTGATAGACAGATTTCGTAAAAGAAACGAAGAAGCTGAAGTTTCACCAGAGGAGCAAATATTTAGCTTTTGGATGGACTACTTTGTCGAAGCTACAAAGTCGGAGGTTGGCGATAGTATACGATTTCCAGTAAGTTGATAAATGGAATCGTTCTACTGAGGATCCAGTTTCCGATTATGGGGAGAGTATGGCTTATAGTTATGTGTTACCAACGTAAAGTAAAAGTCAAAGTAAGAATAATATAAAACTGCCGTTAGTGCAGGTTTATGGATTCACTCTTAAGAATGAACTTCCCACTCTACAATTGATCTCACAGTAGAGAGGCTGAATCGTTACAACGTCTTTGTTCTTTTAGATCTTAGTCTTGGAGCCAACAAAGATCTTGATGCCAAGTTATGTAAATGTGAATCTAGGCGCAGAGGAGAAGTCTATACAGATATGGAATTTGTGCTTGGATAACATGAAAAATAACTGCAAGCAGGTTCATGATTGGCTGTTTACCGCAAACATGATACGTAGCGTTAGTCTATACAAAAGAGACGAGAGATGCCTTTTCTTATATGTACATCAAAACTCGGACGATTTTCAAATGTACCTGCCGTCGGTGCAATGTAGGCAACGATTTTACGACCTGATCTTAGAAATGACTAGGGATCAGGAAGGCATGGTTACAGACTTGGATGCCTACATGACTGACGATCGCATGAAGGTTGATTTCTACTATAATTTTGATATTTCACGGCGCACTTTACACGTGCTTGTTTCTCACAATTTTCATTTTTTAATAATGTATTTTTTCATATTTTTATAGTTCGAGTATGAATTGGACGATCAAAATAAGCGCATAGTTCTCGGTAAAGGCACGTACGGCATAGTATATGCGGCACGTGATTTAAATACTCAGGTCAGAATTGCTGTGAAAGAAATTCGTGAGCGAAATTTGGGCGATGTACAGCCTCTGCATGAAGAGATTAAGTTACACAGCCAGTTGAGGCACAGGAATATCGTTCAGTATTTGGGCTCTGTAAGTGAAGATGGGTATTTCAAAATTTTCATGGAACAAGTGCCTGGAGGTAGGGAAATAATAATGTATAACATAACATTTATATACAATAAAATATAACATAAAGTATAACATTTTTATGATCAAACGTGACAGTTGTGCTCATTCGTTATTCATAATTTCAGGAAGTTTGTCAGCTTTGCTAAGATCAAAGTGGGGCCCTTTAAAAGAAAATGAATCAACCATTTCGTACTATACCAAGCAGATGTTAGAAGGCCTTAAATATCTCCATGATCAGAAAATAGTTCATAGAGATATAAAAGGTACGTACATTTTTTTTTTACTGTAAATAATGTCTTAATTTTTATACATAGGATGTCCGAAACATTTTGGCCAATCGCTCGTGTGAAGATAGAACGGATTAAACTGAGCAGAAAAATCCTCTATCATTGATCTTTGTCTAAACAATTTTAAACGTATTATTTATAGGCGACAATGTATTGGTAAATACATATAGCGGAGTAGTAAAAATTTCGGATTTTGGTATGTCAAAACGTTTGGCTGGTTTATGCCCGAGTACGGAAACGTTCACCGGGACGTTACAATATATGGCGCCAGAAGTTATCGACAAAGGTCAACGTGGCTATGGTGCGCCTGTAAGTTTACGTCTAGTTCTGGAATATTTATAAGATCCAGTTCTGTCATGTCATCATAATAACAATCAAACTTTGCCTCTAGGCGGACATCTGGTCTTTGGGTTGCACGATAGTTGAGATGGCAACTGGCAAACCTCCATTTATTGAACTGGGTTCTGCGCAAGCAGCTGTTTTCAAGGTAAATATAAAATATGTTATGCATAAAAATTAAAGAATCTTCCTTTTTTTCTACCACGAAAAATGAACAAAACTATAACAGACTGTAATTTTTGCAAGAATAATAGCAATGACGTGGTTTAAGAAGGATTTTACAGCTTGATGTTTTAATGATAGGTCAGACATACTTTCCTTCTATTATGGAAAATAAGCAAAATTCAACGGACTGTAATTTCGGTAAAAATGAGGAGATAATGGGATGGTTCATGAATAATTTTATTGTTTAAAAATCTTTAGTTGTCAGAGATATATTTTTGAATATGATGTTTACTTTTATTTCCTACAGTATTGCGCACAATTGTAATTGAATATCCGTTATATATATATCGTTAAATGTAAAAATCTTTTATCAAGTTTATCATGTTGCATCGTGTAAACTGAGTGATTTTTGAATATTTGCGCATAGCGTATTAAATACGTCATTTGCGTTAATTTCTAAATTACCAAAAATAATATTTTAAATAAATCTATATCTTTGCAGGTGGGATATTACAAAATACACCCCGAGATACCGTCAGAGTTGTCGGAGAGAGCGAAATCTTTTATACTGCGTTGCTTTGAACCAAACCCGGATATAAGAGCAACTGCGGCAGAATTATTGGAGGATCCATTCCTTAACGAGTACATAATCTCAAAATACAGTATTAATATTGCCTTACAAATCTTAAGAAGCATGTGTGACTAAAGTATCGACTTGATTACGTAGGAAAAAGAAAAGCAGCAGGTTGGCCGCACCACCTGACTTCAGCAGAAGTATATCGGTTCCCGCGGACAGATTAGAACGTTTGGGGAAATGTGACAAAACGAACAATAATCATATCGTTGCCGCTGCACCAATGCAGATGTCTCAGTCGGACGATAGGTATTACATTTTTTTTTTTAACTTCAATGTGTTATTCTATGTGAGTATTCTTGTAATAGTCCGCGGTGTCTTTGCCTTCGTTTCACCATGTCGTACTCTCATTCGATTTATTCCATTTGCATCAAGCATTTTCGATGCCAACCTCATGTTTTCTCGCCGTTGTGTGCAATTATATCGGATCAACATCGAGACGACAATCGGAATATGACACTTGTACAACTCGATCGCTTTCATGTGACAGTGTTACGAGCAAGACACAGGGTTAAAATTAAATTTATGTTTATTGGCACGCCATGAATCCGAAACGTAAATACACTTTTATGTGAATTAGTTTGGACCATCGTTTGCGCTAAAATTTCTGTGGAAATAACGGACTACTAGTGAGAAATGCTTTGCGCTTTACTTGGTAAAGAATGCTTTACAATGTACTTCAGTGACGCGAGTACAATGCAAGAGCGTAAAAGAGTGTAACGCTCTTTGTTGTATGAACGCACGTTATGAATTGTAATTGTAAAATGTTAAATTTAGTGGAGGGTTGACGAAGTCAAGCCCATTGAGGGAACGCAGTCCGGCCCACCTATTGTCCCCCATCAGCATGCCTACTGCAACCCTCTCTTTTAACAGGTATGGTTCTAACGTAAATTTGTTTATGCAGCAGAAAGGCGAAAGCAAAATAACGAAAGGTACTACAGTTTACTTATCGGACGTTATTGTCCGTAGACACGTATTACAAAACAAGAATCATACGATGAGTCATGAATCATTAACATTAAGTGTGTAAGATGCTTGATCATACTATCTTTTTTAAATAGCTTATTTCCCATGTGTAAAAGTACCAGCAGTATCTTATGCTGCTTCAGTGTTTAGATAATAATGCTGTGTCTCCAGAGAAATATTATCGAAAGTTGTCATTAATAAATTGGCGTAGTTGCTTTGCTATACATAGATTGTAATCGTTACACATAACAAATATATACTACAGTATACGAATGCGCGATTGGAACGTGATTCATACAAGTAAAGTAGCCCTCTAACATCTAACGTGCCCCAGGATTATAGCTTTTTTTACACAATGGTCCTTAAATAACAATTTACACTCCGAAAATGGGCGGACCATTCTTAGATTCTCTCTCGATGTGTACACGTTATATACGTAAAAAATTGTGTTTCTATATACACAATAATAGGCATGAGTTATATTTGTGCCTTCTCATGTATTTAATGATGTCAAAACGTTGGAATTTTGTTCCCAATATGCAATACATAAAACTAATCTGTTGTGTTTTACATCCTCATAGTACAATAGGAAATACTCCATCGATAGAAACCAGTGAAAGTGATACTGCGGGTGCCTCGATAACTAGAAGAAGTTCGTCCGGTGGACTGTTATCGCCGGAAGTGGAATTAGGAGGTTGATATGTTATCAGTAATTTGTATAAAAATAACAGGAAATTCTTTGCAACATACATATACATCGTGTTACATAGGTATAGGTCGATGGACGAATCAAATTATGACTCGTCTGTCTTCCTATCCGTCTCTCAAAGACTTTACTCAAGACTATTGTTTATAATGTACTTACTGGAGATTGTGATAACAGGGCAACCGGGACAAAAATCTGGAGAAGAACAAGAGGGCTTTTACTTGTTGAAGAAGGACAGTCAAAGGCGCATGACGTTAACGAGGGTTCTCAATCAGGACGAGGCCAAGATCTGTGAAGTTTGGATGAGAGGTATACATCAGGCGGAAGGACAAACGGTGCTGCAGATGGTACTTACGCATTTCGGCATTACATTGCGTATCGCACGCAGGTGCATGTTTCATTATTCACCATCATTTTAGAGTCATCTTGTGCTGCTTATGCGCGGTTTAAGAGACTACATCGCCGAGCAAAATCAGGACGTGATAGTGACATCCATTAGAACTTTGAAGGAAGAATTGGATTTCGATTCGACAGCTATTAATCACCTACACTTGGCTATTTATCTATTTCAAACGGCAGTAAACGAAGTCCTCAGGATGCACAGTATAAAGCCACATTGGATGTTCGCTCTGGATAATTTAGTGAGGAACGCTGTTCAAGCTGCTATCACGGTCTTATCACCCGGTAGGTATCATTGTTCTCAACGGAATGAGAGAGCTGAGTGCTCGGTAAGTTTTTGTCCGTTCGAGGGACATGAACGAAAGTCACATCTTGAATCGTCGAATAAGATCGTTCCTTTAAACTGACCGAAGTCCTCACACTTGCGTATCCATCTGGCACACGAACCAGATGCGTAACGCATACATATTACTCTCAAGTGCAGTATACGTGGAGAGATTGAGTGTGTTATCGTGTCAACTCTAAAAATATCTCGAAGGAAAGTCATCACCGTTAATAAGGGATCTCTTACGAACGTCGAGTTCAGTAAGAGGGTCACCTCGCTCCGCTTGACTTCACACATTTCGTTCGGATAGATTCGATCTAAAGCTAATAGACACGTGTATTTCGATTAATTGTAATTGTATGTAATTGTATACGCATATTCGGACGTGAGGAGCAGTGTTACCTTAAAAAGTGTTTTATATACAATGAAAATTGTGTGTTCAGAATTAGGAGCTAATTTACTGGGACAAGAACGGGTACAACCTGGTGGCCAAGTTCCCGAAGAAGGCTCGACATCGGGTGTGTCCATGGTAAATTCTGTCAAGTCTCCGAAAACCGACGATTCTATCGATAATAAATACTGGAAGGAGTACAGGGACCAAATGGGAGCGCTAAAGATGGAAAATATGAGGTTACTTCAAGAATTGATAGAAAATCAAAAGTCGTACCAGTCGTTGCTGCAACAAGTTCTCGAAGAGCAGAGAGCCCAAGTTGGTACATTGACACATTTGTGCGAAAATATCAATAGGAAAACGGAAAGGCAGGAAGTAGGGTACGAAATTGCACTATTGTCTTATTTGTTGCTACAAGTATTTCAACACACAATCGTTCAAATTAATACAACATTATATGCAATCTGTTTTATAATCATGAAAGTAAATTTGAAATCTGTAATTAACAGTAATTCTAATACATGCGTTCCCGGATATATATCGCAACAAACGGAATCCTTAAGAACCACGGACACGCGTTACAATAATGAATCACATTCAGACACGACGTTCAATCGACTCATCGATTGGCTGCGAAATCTGCAGATAGACGAAATATCGATAGATAGGGTAAGCATTGCGTAACACGCACCAATAAGTTCGGTCGAGCTCTTATTCACTATTACTTTTAAATTCGTTCTTGTACAGAAGCTGTATTTAACTATTAATTATTTTTAGTTCTTATATGAAGAATACACACTGGAGGATGTTTTGGATCATATTACACGGGACGATCTCCGCAGATTAAACTTGAGGTAACGAAAATTACGTTCTTAATGTGTGATACCGACAGAACGTAAACAAATAAGATCGTCATTGCACAATTCTAGGGGAGGAATTGAAATCAGGATATGGCAAGCTATACTGAGACATCGCGATTATATAAGTAATAATGGGAATTAAATTGCGTAGACTACAGCTACATTCTTCCGTCGACATTAGCGACAGACCGTCACTAATAACTAATAGCCGAAGTTTAAAGCAGGGTAAGATATTTGTTGCGCTTAGACCGCCACACGATGAAGGTATGATGATCTAAATCGATCATGTCGTAATATTAGATACAAATTGTGCCTCTATAGAAAGTTTTTTCCGTGACACAGTATAACAACACCGGTTCTCTTTGTAGTTCCTAAATGTAGGTTAATATTATTTTTTATAGAGGAATTCTGTATGTATAACAAATCTGTGAAGATGATGATTTATATTAACGAAATGTTTATGTATTATAATCTTTAGCGCTTTCGTCACAGATTTTAATTACTTTGCCAAAGTACCATGATATCAGAATATAAGAAAAATCAGTATTTGCGCGTGGATTTCATGCGTATCACATTGTTTTGTTGCGAAAGATTTCTCGGTTCGGATTTCTAAATTCGAATTTTCCTCTCAAATCTGAATTACTTAATCACTATCGATGACACGATCAACATGAATGATGAAATAGTTGCAGCTTGTTAATAACGCAATCATATTTTTGATATTATATGCTTTATTCTAAAATAATCATGTCCCATTTAATAGAAGAAACAAATGCTTCCAATGATTGTCCGAACAAGTGATGTAAGTTATAAATCACTTTACGAAGTATGTATTTACTGCGCTAATTATACACGTATAAGTGGCTTATGGGGGGGAAAATTGTAAGATTGCACTAGACAAACTGCCAGTGAAAAATGTTGATTGAAAAGAATCCGTATGTAAAAAAGAATCAGTGGCGTTACAGATACGAGAAAATTGTCACGTAGCGTTTAATCTACACTTCTTTACAAATGGGGACGCAATTATTTATAGTGCCTTATCAAACTGGCTCTAGTACAAGAAAAAGATATTTATTAAACAGAATTAATGTGTATTTATACTTACATGTTCGATGGTGTAAAACATTTTCCGTTGAGATTTTACGTTCAATAGGAAAATTTATTGCCCGCGCCACAACACAGGCGTGTCTTCCCAGAGATATTAATCGAATGCTTTTTTTTTTGTAAATAGGACTCTTTGTAGTTTATAAACGCTTTACATTATTCGTTTTTTCCCGAACGAATTAAATGCAGCGTTTCTTCCAGGTTTTGTAGATATGAATTTTTATATGATAGCAAATTCTCCTCTATGCGATATTGCAAAGGAAGAAAAAGATCGATATTTCCTGCGATGCACAATATACCTTGTACAGTTTGATTTTTAATATGTTTTAAGCATAGTCGAACCGAATTTACGCAATTATCTAATCTTAAAAGCTCCCGGTTGATTACTTCCTCAAAGTCGCTATCATTATTATTATTGAAATCATTGTCAAGTAATATATTGCTTGATTCAGTTCGACTATTTACACACTAACATAGAAATACACGATTTAATGACTTACAAAAATTAATTTGGTAAGAAATATATTATTTTCATATAATATTAATAGATTAGATATGTAACAGAGCCTAATGTTCGTGTATTGGTGCTTGTTCCCGAGTATTCTGACTGAAGTAATACTGCAATTCTACGTGATGAATCTGTTACAGCGATTAAAACAAAAAATAAACTTCGGAACAAGTAGCCAAAGCTATTGTTGAATATTTTTCACTCACATTTAAAACAGGATTAATTATTATTGTTGCTCGCATGTGCGATCGTTTGTAATAAAGGAATAAACAAATGTTTATGTTATTGTTATGAAATTCCATATACATGAAATTTCTTAAGAAATTTTACGTTTATATGCGTAATACTGTAAATATTTTTATCGTTCATACACACACACATATATATATATATATATATATGTATTCATACACACACACACATATATATATATATATATATATGTGTGTGTGTGTATGTGTAATCGTAACATCATTTTGCCGTATTTTGAACAATTTTCTTCTTCGGCCAGCGAATTTTGCGAATCCGTCACCCGTAACTGAAATTGGAAGTCAATGGGGGCGGAAGGACGACGTTTTCAGGGGGAAACGGCAATAGGGGAGAAGATGAGTACGTGATCGGCTTCGAGCGTGATATTCTTCTCCGTAGGTAACTACCTCATAGAAATCGTGTCATTGATATGGATGAGGCGTCCTCTTCGTCTCGTCGTGATGCTCCGTTTAAAAGATAAGTCAAATAGATTCGCAACTCGGAGGGTACCGCTTTTCACTCAGCATGCCGGCGAAGGCATTCTTTGTTATGTCGATCGATATCTCGGAAAGTCAATCCAGCGAGAGATAGCATTTATCGCCACCTTTAACCTTTCACGCTAAACTGGAAGAATAATACACGCTATCGCGAGGTCTTCTCCTTTTTTCAAATTGTGTTACTTTTACTTGCGACGGGATCATAGCTGGTAAGATTCTTAGAAAATATTCTACGAAAGAAACTTTTAATTAAGTTCTTCGCGAAACGAAATGACAGATAAGAGTCTTAGCGTAGTTATCAGTGCGCGTAATGTCCATATATTAATAAATAATACTAAACATTTCCGTTACCGGATGCGCACAGATACCAAAACAGTCAGATATTTACATTCTTTATAGTGTTGAAAAGGCTCTTAAAAGTAATAGCGTTTCTGATAGTAAGCATTTAAGAATTTATATTAGAATTTATAACTTTTCACAATTTTCACAATATCAATGATGTTAGTTATCAAATAGTTATGACGTTTCATGTTTACTATAAAAATCAAAGAACAAATGTGTATTTTAATATTCTTTATAAATGTAATATCAATGTGCTTATTAATTTTTATAACTTGGTTACAAAAATAACTCGGTTATATAAAATAACTTCGCAGCCAGATTGTGAAGTTTTTCTAACGGTACATATATATATATATATATATATATAGTCATAAAATCCTCCGCGCAGCTTATCACCGGCTTATCACCAGCTTGGAGTGACATCCTTGATAATTCTAAACTTGGAAAAACGAAACGAGAAGTGGAAGAACAAACGACCGTCGTTATCGTGTGTCATCTCACTATTTTGCAATACGTCTCCCTGGCGTGGGAAAGTGCTTCGTCACATAAGTAATAAATAGAACGTGATAATAAGAAGTTCCTCGTCAACTATGTCAACTATATTTCACAATAAAGAAGTAGCGAACGGCTATCCGCGAGTCGCTCTCGTTAGGGGAGGAATATGAAATTACTCGTTTCACGCGCTAAGGAGGAAGTAGCGTTGAGGCAGCTGCACCGGTAGATTGCGAAAGTTTTCAATCTGTTATAGCACTCGCCGAGCATTAAAACGCTGATCAAAGTCCCCCGACTGGTACTGACATAAAAAGTTTCCGTCGGCATTCGCGCGGAGACACATGCACGGCGCAGGCAGGCAGCTACCGGCCGGCGCTTCCTCCCCGCGTAAAAATGCTTCACCTTTGTTGCGTTACATTTGCGTGCGAGCAATCTACGCACGGCCGGCGTATGAAATATTCAGAGCGGACGGAACCGTTAACCGGGGTGACCACTTTGGTTTGCCTCCTTTGTGCCGTCCGTTCATGAGGGCTGCATCTGCATGCAGATCGATCCTGCATCTGGAAACCGGCTTATCCGCTCTCGCACCGAGATAATACCGCCCCCGTTCGTTTGGTATTCTAAAAAGCCGACCCTTTGCGCCTCCTTGTTATGCAATATTCAAAATTTCGCGCGAGAACGCCGAGAGCGAGGCGGAGAACCGAGCCGTGGATTCGCGTAGACGTCGTTCGGCTGAACAGCGACTCCCGACGTATAGATAATCGCGTGGGATAGCGCATCGATGGCTTCGGGAAAGAGAAGAGTCTATCGTTCTCCGCCGATTTTCACTCTCGCTTGTAACGCACGTGTATTTTTGACCGTGCGATTCATTTGAGCTTGCCGAACGATCGAGAGATCAGGGGCCGTTCAGCAATTACGGCGTATTATCGTCGTCAGATTTCTTTAGATCCAGCACGGAAATAAACAACGTATGACGAGGGCTTAACATGACGTTTCGTTGCCTTTACTTACCCCCCTCCCTCTCGTGGTGTGTGACATAATTGTTGAATGATCACAGTTTCGAAGACTGAGCGAGAACATTTCTCTTCATTTTCCCGCGGATTCGTTCGATTTCTCTCCCGCGAGTTGGAAAATTCGTTTTAAGGAGATTTACGTGAACTAAAATCAAGATATGATTTCGCATAAATAATGAAACTGAGAAACATGAAATTGTCGTGGCTCTCGATCGCTCATGCAAATATACCAATATATCTTGTAAATTGCGACGAATTGTCTGCGAATTGATCCCGCTGCTTGCACTCACCCGATATAATACAGCCGGGGGGCCATCATCGACCGGATAATTAAATGACCTTGCGAAAGGATCAGATGAAATTCGATTATGTAAATGTAACCGTGCCGGCGGCCTTTCAGCACGCGATCAATGTTCCCCGAATCGTTCATAATAGATACCGGCGGATGACGTACATTTTTTCTCCTCGGACTCGGGATTGAACGAAATCCTTACTGCGGGGCCTCCTGCTAATGACAGCGCGAATATTTACGCGACCGTTTCGCCGGGCGGTCGCATTAATCGAAATATTCTACGATTAGCAATTGCAACGGAGAATCGTGGTCGAGGGATTTTTTTTTTATTTTTCTTTCATCAGACGCGCCGCTCTCTCGGTCGGGGCGAGACGCGGCGAGAGAGACGCGCGTGTTCCGTCGCGCTGAATATTTTTCCCCGCCTTATCTACGGTGCGCCAGCAGCCGGCGACTGTTATTACAGCCGCTCCTGACATTCGCCCCCTCATCATTAGGAATTCCATAACGAAAGTCTGCGGTGAAAAGGGCATTACGACGTATTGATGATTGCTCCTATCTTGTTTCGTCGGGGAAAATATACGGGACTATCGCGCGAGATAGCGCGAAGCGAACTGAGCGCGAACCAATCGCGATTGTCAGAGGAGGTATTGTAATTCGGGAGAAATCACATTTACATCATAGTTTTTCGCGTTCCTTCGCGAAAGAAAAAAAGAAATCGAAAAAGGAAAAAAATAACATCGCCAAGGAAAAAATCCCGTTTCTGTCCCGGCGAGGAAGCACTTCCTACTTTGTTCCGTGAATCTTCCGCTCTGAAACTACTCGGACCGTCCGACCGTTCTCGTTTAAAGACGTCCAAGGAATGATGGTTGTGGTCGATTCGGCATATTTGTAAAATTGGGCGAACACTTTTCTCTCGTTTGAACGATCAACGTAATAAGTAGTCGTCGAATCAATCTGACACGGAACTTCCCTTTCTATCCTCTTTTTTGGCGTGATTTTATCAACTGTCGAACTGCCCCGCCAAAGTTTCGTTCGTTACAAGAAGATAATCTCGCAGATGGTTGGAGCGGCCAACGGGAATGGCGGGCACCGGCACACTCGGCCGTTTTTGCGCGGAGGGGACAGCGGGAGCCGTACAATGTTTCACGGTTAAATGGTTCGATTGTACTTTCGGGAGAGGGGTGCGATGTTCGCCTCGGTGAATTATTAAATCCTCCCCGCTGATTTATATTTTCTTACTTTCTCTCCGTCTCTCCCGCCCGGTCCTTCCCCGCTCCGGAGAAGCCCGAGATTCGCAGGAGAGATTTGATTGCAAGATCCTCTGATTTGATTACCCGCTTCGCGAAGTGCGGCCTCGCGCGCGCGCTTTCAACAGCAGAATTGCACAGCTTTACCTGCAAAATTGAATATTTAAGACCGGATGATGATATCACTACTCTCGTGGGCTTTTAAGAGCGAACGAAGGATGGCTTTTAAGAGCCTACAAAGGATGGCCGGCGGATTTCGCGCGCAGTTTCGTGAAGCGCGAAGAATTTTCAAATCGCGTCTCGCGAGGTAGCGCGGAAACAATTCTCCCCCGTCGACGTTTGCCTCCGCGAAACGGAGAAAAGAGGGAAGCGGGAAGACGCGAAAAGTGAGACAAGCGATTTCACACGTCTGCATCGCGGCGCCAAAGCGGCCGAAATGTCTGCCCGATCGAGAGCAACTCCAGCCGAGCTTTCCTGGCGAGGCAAGAAAGGGTTGTTCTCTCCGATGGAGCTGCAAATCCTGATGCCACTCATCATTTCCTCTCTCCGTACCCCTGCTCTCTTTCCCTTTCCCCTTCCGCCGTTCTTTCTCCTTCCCCCTTTACCCTTTCTATCGCTGTTGTACCCTCTCATCTCGCTCGCTTCTTCTCCCCCCGCCTCGTTCTCTCTTTACTGTTTAATTAACTAACTGCGCCTGTGTAGTAACTAAAGAGGATCTCCGACTCCGTAGGCTTCCACGAGCGATCGAATAATCCATTTCCTCGTGAAAGGACAAATAAGATTACCGAGTCACGTTCCGGCAACGGTGCTAAAAGATTGCGCCTGCTAAATCCTTTTGAGTTTCGAGTTCGATGGGCGATCCGGCGTAATTGGACGACTTATAAAACGGGCCCCGAAGGAGCGTCTTGCGTTCTTGAACTCTTATCGAGGCTCTCCTTGCGCTTCACACGTTATCAATTAACGAGCAACGACTATGATGCTTTTCGATATCCATTTTATATCTATTTATAGATTTCTGAAGAAGCGATTGTGCACCTAAATATGTACAAAAGTTGCGTCACTCTTTATTCTTTGTTTTAGGTAAGGTCGGTCATAATTTTTTTTATTTGTTTGTTGGAGTTCCTGTTTTCATTGCGTCTGCA